CCTCAGGGATTCTGCAGGCCCTGCCCAGCTCTGCTCCCTTCCCTGGGCATGCTCCAGCCCTCAGTGTTTGAATGAGAATCATTTACCCCCCACCCAAGCCCCAGACAGAAGGTGCTGGTACCTTTGCTCTCAGCTTTTCCCGCTGTGGTTTTCCTGGGCTGCTGTTTGTTGGCTCTCCCCTGCTGCTCCTCCAGGAACTTGCCCTGGCACTCCTGGGCCGAGCGGGAGCCCACGGCCATGGCCACCTCCTGCCAGAAGCCGCTCCTGTGCTTGGGGAACGCCGCGATGGCCCTGGGGGACAGCAGGGACACGGTGTCACCTGTGGGGCACAGCTCTGGGAACAGCCCTGCAACCACCCGGGCCATGCACTGAGGCAAACTGGCCTGGCCTCTTGTTGCCCCCCCTGGATCCCTGGCAGTGCCCAAGGCCAGGCTGGACATTGGGGCACCCTGGGACAGTGGGGGTGTCCCTGCCATGGCAGGGGTGGCACTGGGTGGGGTTTGAGGTCCCTCCAACCCAAACCATTCTGTGATCCTGTGCTGTCTTTTATTCAGAACAGGCAAATTTATTTAAACACCCTTAACTGACAGATGTGTCACAAGATAAATTTCCTGCTCACTTGTGCAGGTCCCCTCAGACCTGAGCTACTGCTCATCTAAAAGAGCTAAACCCAAACCTGGCCATTTTACAGTGTGTCTATGAAATATTGCCCAGTGGTTTAAGTAATTGGATGATGGATTAATTGATTAATTGAACACCCTTGCAGTTAACCTGCTCACAAACCACATCATGTTTAACCTGTTACTGCAGTTTGGGGAGGGAACCTGCTCCTCTCACCTGTGGCCCTCACCATATTATACTGATGTTTCACTTGTGAAGAAAAGTGATAGGGAATAATAATTCTAATTATTATTAGGGAATAAAAAAAAGGGAACTGAATGGAAATATTTCTAATAGGAAATTAGAACACACAGGAAACCTGGGAAATCATGAATCTGAAACCCCCCAATCCAGACCATCCAACCCCTGCTGATGCCTAAGGGAAACTTTTCCTCTGAGCACAGAATGAGCCCTTACTTGTGAAGCTTCTGTAATTCCTTCTCAGACCAGTCATCACCTGGCCTTGCAAAGAGTTCCAGAGATTTCTGCCCCCTCGTGTCTCTGGGTTTTGCTGCTGCAGGCCTGGCAGTGCTGGGGCCTCCCTGGTTTGTTTTCACGGGGGGTGCTGTGGCGTTGGTGCCCTCGCCGGGCATCTCCTCGGGCTCGGTGTCGGAACGGAGCCGGAGCCTGGCAGGGCTGGCACTGCCCCGTGCCCTCGTGGCCCGGGCAGGCAGGAGGGAAGCACTGCACTCAGAGGATGCTCTCCCTTCAGAAGGGGGCTCAGACTCCTCACTGGACCAGGGCCCACTCAGCCTCACCAGCACATGCCGGGAGGGCTTTGCTGTCCTTTGGCCACAGGCCTTGCTTGCATCATCCCTGCAACCTCTGGAGCCAGGGCAAGGATTCCGCTCTCGAGACTCTTTTGGTTTCGATATAGCCTTCTTCTTCCTCCTGATCAGCAGTGGGGTGTCCTCACTGGACTGCTCCTCCTCATCCTCTGAGGGCTGCTGGGTGAGGAGAATCCTGTCCTTGGCTGACCTGAGGGAGTTCCTGTAGCCCTGCTCGTACATGCTCAGCCCTGCAGATGCTGCTGCTCTCCCTGCTGCCCCCGGGGCTCTGCTGCCGTGCTTGTTCAGCTCCTTGGCCTTTGAGGCAGCGCCCCTGGCAGGGAGCTGGGCTGGTTTGGGTTCTGTGCCCCTGCCTCCAGGATCATTCTCCTCCTCATCCGACGGGACCTGCCTGCCCTTCCTGCTGCTGCCAGGCCTGGGCTCCCCTCGGGGAGCGGCTCCTCCTCTCTCGCGGCTCTTCCCTGCAAGAGAGGGAGGAGGCGGAGCCGTCAGGGCGCAGGGCGGCTCCTGCCGTGCTGGCAGCACAGGCACCTGCACCCCCTCCAGAGCGTTACCTGCCAAACTACAAACTCAGAGCTGCTCTCAAGGGCTCTCCGAAACTCTACTGACTGAGCAGGCACATCCCCAGAGCTCTGCTCTGCTCCAGAGAGCTTTTCTGCAGGAAACATTGCAGCTGCTTAAGAGAGAAACTTCTGCTTTATATTCACATTCTTCTCAGGCTTCTATCACCACCCAGATTCTACTAAAACCAATTTTTTATTAAAAACTCTGTTAATAGATTTTTTTTGCCAACGTTTTCATTGTTTTCCATCCACGTTAAAAAGCAAAGCCAGGCCTCCAGGTCACTGGATTGGTGAACTCCAAAAAGTCCAAATCCCTTCATTTCAATTTCCAGAAAGAAATCCCTGTGTCCCCATTATGTAATTAACAAAGTGATTTACACACATAGTTCTTGTTTGGAGCTGTGAAACTCCACATGAATGCTACTCTGCTGATTCTTCAGAGAAAAAGCAGTTATCATTAAAATATTTGAATAATTTCTTTGCATTAACAGACCCAACCCTGCTTCTCCAGCATCCACTCACAAGTCCACTGATTCCATCAATAACTTGAAAATAGAAAAAAAAAATAGTTTTTACCTTTACTTTGGCTTTTTGGCATTTCCTTTGTTGTCTTCATGTCTTCCTTTTGTTTATTCTTGGAGATGAACCTGGTCTTTCTTTTGGGTTTTTCACTACTAGGGATCTTCAAAATAAAACAATTGACTCTAAAATTAATTTCATCTCCTTTTCTCCAGGCTGAGCCCCTTTCCCAGCTCTGTTCCCTTCCCTGGAAATGCTCCAAACCCTCAGAGTCTCTCTTGCAGTGAAAGGCCCAGAACTGACCCCAGGATCTGAGCTGGGACCTCACCAAATTCCTGTCTGATACAATCACCTTTCAAAACACCCCCAGTTTTTTCCCCAGAAAGAATTCCCCATTTTGTCAGATCTACAGACCACAATTACCTCATAATATGGACATAAGACTATTTTTTGGTGTGTTTTCTAATATTTTGATCATGTTTCCAAGATTTCCTTTCCCTTCAGGGGTGTCTAAGAGCTGCCCCTGTTCTGTTCCCCACCTGGCCAAATTTAATAATTCTATTGAAGTTACACTTAAGAGGCTCTTACCAGGTTCAGATAATCCACCCATCCATTCTGTATGGTGACATTGAGCCCCTGATCCACAAACTCCCTCTGGCCACACCAGTAGCTCAGGGGGGGTTTGACGAGGCGCCCGCTGCGCGTGTACACCATGCTGGAGTCATGCCTGCAGCTGGGGCTTGGTGTCACCACTGCAAGGGGAAAATGCCCAAGGAAAGAAGAGTTTATTCTCAAATATTGCATGGAAAATTCAGTTTAGCAGAGGAACAATGTTGTGTTTAAACTGGACTACAAGGGAAATGTAAAATGTACCCAAAGTTGTTCTTTTCAAAGCATTGTGATAGAAAAGACAGGACTGAAGTAAGAAGCTTCCCAAATTATAAACTTTACTGTGGTGTACTTTTCACTTTTACTTTGTTTAGAAGGTTATAAATACCTTCTAATATAAATACCTTCTAATATAAATAAATAGTTGTTTGAGGAGGGAAAATGATAAAGCAAAGTTGTTACATGGAGCAGCTGCTCACTGAGACAAATGAGGGTGAAAAATGAATGGGAGTGATGAGAGAAAAGCATAAAAGCTTTTGCAGTGCTGGCAAGAAAACCTGATTGCAGCACTAACAAACAGCACAGTGGGGTTAGGGAAAGGCCCATTGGACAAAGACCCCAGAAAAAGTTAAAAGTTAAATCTGAGTTAAAGCCCAGAGCTGTCAGTGCCTGTGGCAAGGCAGGGACTGCACTCAAAGGCTGAGCCAAGCCAGGGGGCTTTTACAGCTCTACAGCCGATTCCTGCAAACACAGCCAGCACAAGGAACCTTCCCACAGCCCACTGCAGGTGTCTTTTCCAAAGGAAAGGATTGGTAAATACTCACAGATGTTCTCATGGTTCTCTGGTGACACCTCATAGGTGGCGTTCCTCAGTGCAGGTTTCCTGGCTTTGCTCACTGAGCCTCCTGCAGGTTCCAACACATCAGCTCCCTCCACAGAGTCATTCTCCTCATTCTCCTCATTCTCCTCCCCACCACTCTCTTGAGCTCGTTCTTTCCTGAGGGTTTGGAGTTTGAGACAAGAAATAACAGCCACTGAGGGAGCTGTTTGTTAATAACCAGGGAAGATTGAAGCCCTGGTGGGCCAGCACAGCAGAATGGTTTCATGCCCACATCTAAAACACTTCACACCCCTCTGGTGTAATACCCTCACAAAAGTCTCAATGAACACTTAGAACACTGCAGGGATAGAGAATCTCCAAAGAACTTACCTCCTCCTTTCCTCCAGCAACTCCTCCACGTACTCCTTCCACCTTCTGGAGAAGCCAAACGTGAATTTCTTGATGAAGCGGTAATGGAACCCTGGGG